TTCTACATATTCAACCCCTTCCTCCACACATAAATAACATAAAATCCCCGGCCCATCCCAATTAACACGTAAATTGCACCTAATATAAATTATGTGACATCGTTCACTAATAATATATGCTTTATTACCAAAATAGAGAATAATTACCCAGCGGAAATGGTTAAAATTCTACCAATTTAACTAGAAATTGTTCGAAAATAGCATTTTATGTTTAGTCGGAAGTGTTAGTTACTCTGTGACTCGAGGCTAACCCAATGGCCTTCGACTCTTTGAACGCCAAATTCGGAATTACTGTGAAATACTTTATTTTCGCTTGGAATTGATTTTCGCTGAAGGAATGATTCAATGAAAATAAAATCCAGCAAATATGCCCTTTTTTCCTATACATTCAACTCATCAGAAAACAAGTTCCATACAAAACACCCAAAACGTCTTTTCAGCGAAAATTAATTCCAGCTAAAATAAAGTATTTTACAGTAATTACTTTTCAGAAAATAAACCTACTTAAGTTGTTCCCATGGTAATAATTAACAATTGATTTTTTTAATGTGCAAAATGCTTCACACAAATTTTAGCGTTTACGGCGTTCAGAGGGTTGAACAGTGAGGGCGCAATGACATCAAGGTCGACACTTTACGGTGCGGAGTCCCACGTATAGATAGAGCCCACGCCCGGACCCAGTATTACGTTAATTCCAGAAGAGCACTTATAAATTAAACACACGGAACTTGCTGGCAAAGTATCGACTTCGACCAGACCATTTATACTTGGTTTATAAAGCTTACTATCGCCCAACATACAAGACCTGAATAGAAACGGGTGGTTGTTGATTTCAAAAACACGAATATGGCCGAGGTTAGGAGCCAGCGATGACTGAATTGGCTGGAATCCGCTAGGTCCCCATTCATATATGACAGGGATGGAAAATTGTGTAGGTTTCGATGTGACCATGTACAATTTACAGTCGTATAAATACGTGTCGACGGTTAGGGATGGTGTCGTGTTAGGAACAGTGGAATGCTCTATAAATGTTAAAACCGCCGGGTCCAATCGATAAACTTTGGCATTACCAACCGTACCCGAAAATACCAGATAATTGTCACCATCGAATTGAAACCAGTCCGATTGGGAGGCAGAATCTGTTGGAAAGTTGTTTTGTGGTACGAACAACTGCGATTCTTCGTTCCACATGAAAACTTGACTGTCAGACTCGTAATTTGTAAGGACCAGGAAATGTTTGGTATCGTGATCCGGAGTGCTGACGGATGAATAGGTAAAGTGTCGCGGCATTGGACGCCAACAGTTGGTGAGGTGCCGACGTTTTGAATTGGTTCCCGTCCCATTTCAATAAGTAAGAGTCTGTTTCGAAATAGCCATCACTGTCCTTATTTTGGGCAACTGCCAAATAGGTCACCCCGTCTATTTCAAACGCCTTCAGTCCCCATGGAGAGCCGATACCGAGCTGCGAGCAAATGTCCTGATGTAACCGGAATCCACTAGCGGTGTCGTATTTGAATAGTTTGCAGGTTTTTAAGCTGATAGAGCTCGTCAACAGAAATGTGTCACTTCCTATGACCATTGTTTGCATGCAAACTAAGCCGTCTAATATGGTCGGATCGTCGGAGAGCGGCATCGATGAGAGAAGGAATTCCCCGTTCACATCAGATACAGGACCAGTGCCTACAATTAATAATGTGTTCCAGTTAATTACCGCGACCTTCCGAAGCAAACTAACCTATCATATATTATTGATAATGAGCAGTTTTAAAAAATTGGAAAAAAAAATTAACGACATAATTCTCGATTCTTTTCTCGTCATTCTCGATTTAACAAATGCCGCTAATATGAATATTCATTCTGTTGACGTCACTGCGCGTCACTAATCACCACGACAGTTTATAAGACATCTTATACAACAGAGGCATGGACTCGCATTTAAAAGTGTTTTCCAAACTAAAGTCATACATGCATTAGAGTTAAAAGGAATTATCACCCGGGTCAAACTAATAATGCAATATTCAAATCAACCAAAGAGACTAGTGTTTTTGATTCAACGTTACACAGTTATTTAAAGAAGCAATGTAGATGAAAACATTTAATATAATTGTTGTTTCGTACTGTATGTTTATGTTTATCATAGTTGTCTTGTCGATGTATGTTACAAGAGTAAGTTAGTGTTGTAGTGGAAATAATCCTATGACAAGCGGCAGTGATGGTTTTGATTCGGGAAATAACAATCACCGCACATGCGTAGTAGTGTTTTTCATTTTTCGTTGAACAAATATAAACATCGTTTTGTAACAGCAGTTTATGATGCAATGCCATCCAAAGTTGGTCATCCACACGCAGCTTCAAACAATATTAAACATATACAGTCGTCTATATTGCATTATTATGAATTCATAAACATAAAATAGAATTCTTTACAAAAAAATATACATACATATCTCGCAGTGTTGACCGTCGTATCCTTGTATACAGTCGCAATGGTAACTGCTGACGTCATCAACACAAGTCCCGCCATTTTGACATGGCTTATCAGCGCAATAATCCGTCATCGGCGGCTCTGTAACTTTGAAACAAAAACATAACGACTAATTTTATATATTTTATTCAGATATTGTTTTATTATGAATTTCCGGTGAATATACCCGCATAAAGCGCTTAATAGACACAACACACCCTTTAAAGACAACGTTTTGACTGAAGTTCATTATACTACTAGTATAAGCATGACATTTCCATTGATGTATGTACGTGTTTAATGTAAAAACAATTCTAGTGCTTCTGTGTACACTAAATGTCTCAATTTTGTCTGTATTGATATTATATGCACTTTTACGCGACTGCACGCGTATGTTGCCTACCAGTTTCAACCCATTTAAGAAAACTTCTATGATACAGACATACACTACGGTGTCCATAATTGATTGGCTAATATATCGAAATAAGAGACGATGAATTTATATCCGATGTCTATCATGTCTCAGTAAATACACGTTCCTCATGACAAAAGTTGGAATCCGTTAGTATTTAATGACGTAACTTTTATCAGACCAACTTTTTTATGATTCAAAAAATAATTAAATTGTGGATGAACTTTGTGAATACATATAACATGACTAGTATCAAATATATTGCTTGTATGTCGACACGTTTTAAAAGTATGTGGTTTGAAGGCGGAATAAACGTGATTAATTGAATTATTATATTAAATTCGAAATAAGAGATGATAGTACTGACAGTTTTTTATATTTTAAACGACGACTTAATGATGCAAATCATCTGTTTACTCGGTTAAAGAAGCTTGCTTTTTATTGGATCCCACATAGTATTGTGTTAATACTAGTACTCTGTAATTAGGTGAGAGCGCCCCCTCGCGAGCACCCAGTAACCGAATTTTGGATTGAAAGCGATGGAATTCAACGTAGCGTTAACAAGTAGTTAATTAAA